TCTCAACGTGCAATGCGTTTCTCATTAAAAGTTGTAGAAACTTAATAATTAATCAAGGAACGTTACTTGTTACTGATAAAGGTGTGCAAATCAATAGCGATTTATCCCTGCATTCATCGCGATCGAGTCTTGGAAATCGATAACGCAAAAGTAATATCACGTACGGAGCGACTCTCGCCACTGCTTGCCGGCTCGACGTTCGGCGAGCGAATGATCGTGCGGCGACCTTCGGGTACACGATGGCACGCAAAAACATCGTACGTCACCGCGCCGAGAGAAAAACAACTACAAACGTTGAGAATTCGTTGTCTTTTTTTGTTCCGTGACTGTTACTACGTTTTGTGTATCATTCTGCGGACTTATTGGTATTGATTGAATTAACGATTAATTCTGTTTAATCGAGACAATGTTTCGAAACAAAAATCGTTGTTACTTATATTCTAATTACTAAGATTTTACCTCAATGGTTGGTGTATACAAATGCATTACTTATATATTTCTAAATTGCAAATCTTCATCTACTACGAATCTAAAAGAGACGTGAAGCACACCGCGCTTCGAGAAAACCAATCGGCATCACGGAAAAGGGGCCTCAACTGTTCGATATTAACGACATTCGCGCTGGTAGCATCTCATTTTTAGAAAGGGAAAATCTGACAGATGTTTGACCGCGAACTCTCTCGAAAAAGCCTGCAACCATTTCTACACGCCATACTGCTCTTTTTCTCTTCTTCTAGACTTGGATTTCTGGACTTGCGTTTATTATAAGTAATCTTATTTTCTAGATTATTAATCTGAGTTCTAATTCCACGGTATTGTTCTTATATGTTGTCCCTAGAGTATGCTGGTCTCATTTTGTATGTATTTATTACAATTCTTGTATCAAGCAAATATTGTCGTCAAGTTTACCAAAAATTAGTAAAATTAAAAATTTTTTTCGTTCTTGATATAAAGTCGACCAGCTTAGTCTAGATTTTGCTGCGTACTTTAATTCCGTAAAAGAGTTTTGCATTTCTATAAAGTCAAGTAAAAGATCACTTCTAACAAAGAATGTCGTTAAAACAGACGGCTTTAGGATCCCCTTAAGATATTATAATTACGATGTGTGACCTGTGTGTTGGGGAAATTTTACCATTTATTTTCAAAGTTTCAGCCAATTCCACCGAAATCCAGCTTTGATAAGAACCATGCGGGATCCTTTATATGTTTACCCATACCTCCCCATACAGTAAGTCAATCTTATTTAATTCGAGAGAGGAGAATAGATATTATGCATTTAATTTTAATATTGTTTTACTTTTCTACTCGTCGCGAGATCGTGATAAGTTTAAATATATCAAGAACATTTGTTGTATCGTCATCAGAACTCCTTTCTGAGAGGGCATAGCTTAAGTTATCACCATTGTGTTAAGGATGATCAACACTCTCGGTCAGAGCTATAAATACGGTAATACATAATTGCGGAATACGATGGCGTTGATTACGCGGCAGCTCGGGAGGAATAAAAGCATCGGAGAGATCCGGTTTATATAAAACACTTCTTGCCGAGAGGGAAAAATTGTACGATAAAGGGTTAAAAGGAATTCTCTCCGGCACGCAATCAATCGCGATAGACACGAGCCGCGAGTCGTTAAGTCGCGCGACGAGCGTAGGTGCGCCGCGCCGCACGCGCGGTAACTCGCAGTCACATTTAAATTTCAATCGAGGCGCAATCGCCATTAATGGAAACCGTACAAATTGCACGTGAGGATGTACTCGTTTTTTCCAACGGCGAGTAACCAGCAAGACGATCTCGGGGCTTGTCGGCGACGATTAATGTCCGCTTACGAAATACGGCTAATAACTTTAATCGACTCGTACGCAAAGACTTTGTCCTCTTGTATATACTTAAGAAAATGGGTAGCAGGCAACTAGAGATGACTAATTGTGTGGCGAGCATAATCGTAAGTGTACAGTGTAAATATCTCTATTTTGCTGCACTTCCTTTCATGTACATGGAGCCTTTATGCCAATTAAAACTAATTTTTCCTCTTGACACAAATATCTCGCACAAAACATTAATATTAAACCGAGGAACAATTAGAAATTGTAGTCTCATCATGTAATAATGCCTTAAAAAATGAGGTCTGAATAATTGTTAAATTTTCATTAAAAGCATCCAAAACGGGTTTGTATCTGACAAGATCGTTACCTACAAAATATAAATGGAAAGATTCAAGGCGGTTTGACTTAATTAATGTCTTGTCGATATTAATTTCGCGGTTAATCTTGCGCGAATGTCCGTAACGCCGCTTTTCCTTGTTGTAAAAGAAAAAACTTCGGAAATTAATTGACGACGTATAAAGGTCGGGCGCGATCTGACAAATTACTGATATCGGACGATATGGGACGGAGACACGCGTAGATCGGTTTAAACTGCCGCTTTTGCGAGATGTCCGTGATGCCGACTCGTGAGAGATCATGGCTGTAAAAGCCACGTAACTTTTCGCCTTGGGGCGACCGAGCAACCGGAGGTCAGCCGAGAAGGGACGGTGCACTTGACTCCCAACGATCGAGATCGTTCCGTGAGATCACGACCTCGCAGATTTCTCCCGCGGACCGCGAGCTGAGCGACGCGGGAAGGGAGTCGGGGAGGGTAGGAAGGAAGCGGTCCGAGAAGGAAGCCTGGTGCGTCAAGTCCTTGCCTGAAATAGAGCACCGCGTATGCGCGCCGCGACTCATGAGCGGAATATTTAATTTGCGCGGAAAGCCGCACGTAGTGATTAGGCCTAATTTGTGAGATGTGCATTAACGCGCGCCTTGTCCTCGCGAACCGGCGAGCGATCGCGTGAGTCAGTCCGGGTTCGATCGAGGTTGAAACACGTCAGGGAGCTTCCCGGAATCGATCCAAGTGCGGCATTTTTGCGCGGATCGGACTGAATGCCGATGATGCTACCTCTGGTCGGTAGAATTCAAGGTTACCGAACGATTGCCGCCGGTAATCCGAACCAAGTGTTGCATAAGGACCACCGTTTTGTCGCGGTTACACTGACTAGAGACCCTGTCATCAGAGACTGGCCATAAGAGTTCGTCAAACTCCCGCGAGTGAGAGAGAACCATAGGCTATCTCTCTCTTCTACGATCGTAGAATCGTAGAAGATGGCCAGTCTCTGACTACAGGATCTCTAACACTGACTTTCGCGAGGCGACGATTCGGAAGTCACGTTAAACGCTATCCGGTACATGATCCCAGCTCCGCATTGTGTAATTCTTATTCATGACTTCACACACACACACACAGCCGATCGAATTTTCTAGTATCATTGACCGAGACCTTCGGGAAAATTATTTCGCGAGACGAATCGTCATCTTTATCGTAATGCGGAGTTAATTGCAAATCATTTGCAAAGTTAATTCCGTCATAATGAGGAACTAATCGCGATTGCCGCGAGAAACTGGCTGGGAATGTAAGCCTCCCACGCGACCGTCGAGTATCTGTTACAAAATTTCTGCAATACTCAATCAACGGTAGTCACGGTCGGCATTTTTCATTTTATTCAGTCTGATCGGGCCAAAGAAAATGCGCGATTCGCACGCCTCGGCGTGCCTCTAACGTTGCATAAAATGGAGGGCGCGATTGTTCTCGGACGGCACAGATGCAACGATAGTGCGGAGGATATCACGTTGCTTCGGGTGCACTTTCTTCAAATGTGTCGCGTTCACGAATAGAGAGGGCTCTAAAAATTCGTAAGCCTGGTTACTCCCATCGTTACTTTCGCGAATTTATATTGAGAGAAGGGACGGAATGCTGCTCTCTTTTTAGTCGTATCAATATCGCTGTCCTGCGATACTTTCGAAGAAAATCACGAGCGCGTTCGTGCGTGGCGATAATTCGACGGCGAGCAATGTGCGAGCCAACGAAAGACGAGGTCTAGATTACGCGGATCGACACATAAAAATTAGATAAACCGAAGAACACGCGATAAAAGGCGGAGCTCTCTTCCGGTCATTGGTCTTGCTTGCGAACTGACAAATACACCCGAAGGACGGTGCGAATTAACGGAGTACAAGACGGCGGATACTTCGTCGCAAGAATAAAAAAGAAAGGCAGGTACTTCGTTGAAGTACAAGACAGATATTTCGTGACAGCAAGAGTTAACGTTTAATTTAAGGCCATTTGATGTCTCACCAAAAGGAGATTTTATCCATCAAGGATCTCGCATCTTCTCTAAAAGCGATTGTATCGAGACCAATTAAAATTTTCTTATTATGTTTTATAGCCCCATATTAGTAAAGTCCCGATCGAATTATTGAAACGAGAGATGATTAAACACATTATCATAATTCGTTTCAAGTTACTCGCCGTCGTCATTCATCATCTGAAGCAATGTGGAGAAAACGAGTGTTGTGCATTGTCAAAGAATGACATGGCGAACACGTGCCAACCTATCTCATTATTAAAACCATTGTCGGAAGTGGAGATACGAGTAAAACGAGGACTGCGATATATACCTTTCCCTGCCTGCACTCGGTGAGAGTAAAATTCGCGCGTCAAGGCGTGTCGCGGCTTTACATATGGAATCCGCGAGATAAGCCCCTCTTAAGCGAGCCCACACTTCCTAGACCTCGTTAGGAGATAACGCGCCTCGGAGTTCGCCGCATTTCCTGCACCCACGAGACAGGGAAACGGGAGCAATCGGCAATCCGGTCGGCATGCATACATCAACCGGACTTTAGGGTACGATGGCCGGACCCTTCCCTCGGCCTCCCCGTTCGTCCTTGCGCCTAGAGCACCCGCCGATAGTGTCCGCATTGACAGCGGCGCGACGCACATGGGGCCGGCACGGTGCGTGCGTCTGGGAAGGAAGAAAAAGATCGATCCTCTCGGCCGTGGTGGAACTGCCCGTGTGTAAAATCGACGTGCTCGCGGCGCGAGCAAGCGAGCGAGCGTGCGAGCGAGCGAGCACGAGCGCGCTCGCACGTCCACGAGAGTGGGAGATACGAAGGTATAAAACCGATCTGGTGGACTGGTGCCAGCCAGTCCAAAGGCCAGATGCGGTGGCGGCTCTAGTCGCACGCGTGCGAGAGAGACGTTCACGATACTCGGCGTGCGGTACTCCTCTTGCCAGACGCGAAACGCGCGTCGCATACGTACACGCACATATATACATGCGACGGTGACCAGCGTACTAGCGGTCATCCTTCGGTAGTGATTCCGTGCAGGATTTTCGCGAGGGAATCGAGAGCGAGTTTGCGCGTCTGTGGACGAAGGAAAATTAAATTGACGAGACGACGAGGCATTGTCCTGCTCCGAAGGGAGATAAAGGACGGCGAGCTCCGTCTTGGAAAAACACATTTCCTAGGATACCACGCGCCTCGCGGCGATCTCTTCCTCTTGAGTAACGAGGAGAGGGCGAAGATCTCAAATTAGACGGCGATAGTCACGCACGGAGCACCCGCGCGACAAATCGATTTGTTCTTTGAGGGTAACCGACAGTGGGTTTCTCGTGAAATCCGCAGTACAAGGGAGATCCACCAGCCGACGAGACAAGGAGTGGTGGTCTCATTCAAGACGTTTGACGAAGGAACGACTCCCGGATAACCAATGAGGATCCAGGAAGCATCACCGACTTTCGACAGCCATCTGGAAGAGAGTATTCTATCGGGGTGGCTTGGCGGGGGATTGCCTCGTAGCATGTCTTCTATTCGCATCAACGTGGAGGAGGTTTCCAACGGCGGCGAGGATATCGTTAGAGACGTAAGTCTGTTGCGCGGCAGCTGCTACTCGGTAATCCAGTCCACGATGTAGTAACGTCTTACCTCGCCGGCGATCCTCAAGTGCGGTGGAGGGGGAGTGTGGAGTAGAAGTCGCGGCATCGCGGAAATCACGCATGTCCTCCGCTTTTTATCGTCCGCCGGCTTTCTATTTCACCGTTGCTTCCGCCATTCAGGTGGCTGCTGCTGCTGCTGCTCATCCAGGTTTCGATCTCTACATCGGAGATCAACGTGCCCCGCGAGACCCGGCGGCACTTTCACGGTTGCGCGACGAACGTCCTCTTGGTCTCGACGCGGGAAAAAACGCGTCGCGGCACAAAGGGGACCGCGGGCGTAATCGGGAATCGCGTCGCGATCCGGTGAAACGATCAGAGCGAGCTCTAATGAGCTAATAGGTCGCGCGCACTTAAGAGAAAATAGCTCCAAACGTGAGAATATATTAACGCCATTAATTATACCTATATTTATCGATGGCTTCTATCCATCGTAGAATGGTCAACGAAACGTAATATAGCTAAGCTCGATTCTATTCGACGTGATTCGACTTCCTCCTCCTCCTCTTCTTCTTCTTCTTCCTCGTGTATTAGGCTTAAAGCCTGTTTTATCCAGTTCTCTGGTTCTGGTACTTTGAGCATTTGGTTTTACTTCATCTTCGGTAGGCTGCTAACCTTGCCGAAGGAAACCTTCCATCTGGAGGGCTGTACCCCTAAAGGGGCATGTGTGGCAAGATACTCTTGGTGATCACTTTCCTTCGGGAGATTTCGAAAAAGACCAGGTGTCCGCGGATTTCAACTCGGATCTTTCTGTTCATTCGTCTACTAAGCAGCGCACATTTCTCTGCGCCGCACTCGACTCGACTTCCATCTGATAGAAATTCGAGAGGCGTTGTACACGTGTACGCGTCAACGTTAGATCCATTCCAGACTCAGCTGGATGACTTGTTACGACGAGATGTGTTGGCGCTCGAGAGATATCTGCCACTCAGGACTACGGTACAAGGAACAAGTTCAATGTACGAGCCTTAACGGGCAACGCGGTTTTAATAATCGAGGTATTCTGGTAAAAGGTGTCGAATGCATTAGTTTCACGGGCAACGTGTACAGCTGTAACACTGTAATACCGTTCACCGCGAATACTTAACAAGCTTGATATCCATTCAAGTTTTACGTAACGCAAAGACGGAGTTCTACAACCTCGCTACCTACCAGTTGGGAAACGAAGGGCCGTATTGTTCTCATATGATGCGGATCCACCCCCTCCCCCCTCGCACATGCGTATCGAGAGTAAAATGGCGCATTAGATAAAGTCTACCCGAACGCTCGCAAGCTACGTTAATATTCTTAACTATGCAGTGATTGTTATCCGTGAGAATCTCTGCGTGCTCCCCGAGATAGAAAACACTAACCTCACCTGTGTTTAAAGGAAGATGTAGCTCAACAATAGCGCGCGCGCGCGCGCGCGTCACGCATAATTACACAATTTCTCCAATACGGAAGTAGCTCTCGACGTCTCGTTTAAGAAAAGAAAATCTACTCGCGACAGATCATAGAGGTTGTCATTGAAAATACCATTGCGGTTTTCAGGACACCCCGTATGTTTGATTATTCCGGTTTTTGCTCAAGTGTACGGCGGTATCATTTTCCCTCGGTTTCATTTTATGCCGGGCCGACTGCGGGCGCTCCGCAGCACTGGAAACGATCCGACTTGCTCCCTCGTTTACGTTTCTGACGCCGAGTATTAATAGCGGCGGCTAATTAGAATAACGTCGCGTGCATAATAACGCGACTTTTACCCAACTCCGCGCAACAGCCGCGAAACACACGAGTCATTGATTTATTCATGGTAAAAAGATTCAGTTTCACTTATATACTACCGATACTTTAAACTTTCACGCTCGGAGCAATCGTGGGATATATCAGGCCTCATCGCGTATGCATATCATAAAAATGCGAAACGACATACATTTCCTAGAAAATTCTAATTCCGGTTTGATAGTGAATAAAATTCTCCTCATTATCGCCTTCTTCCGAGACGTTATACGCCGGGTGTTTTTCCTGTCGATCGCCAATTTCGTTCCGAGCCTTGCTCGCGATTTACGAGCGTTCGTACGTTAGTCTTGTAACGATTTGACGTTAAGGTCAAAGAAATAAAGCGCGAGATGCGGGTGCTGTCGCAAGAGAACAATCTACGTTCTACCCATCGCGGGGTCGAACGGGAGATCTCAACGAGGCGGTGAGCAGACACCTGTGAGCCATTAATCATCTCACGAGTAAGTTCCATAATTCTCGTAATTTTAATGTTTACGACTTCACCTGCGTGATTACGCGTACAGGTGAGGCACACGTGGGGTGTAGCGCAAAACGCTATCGCGGACGGACCTTACTTTTGTCCGGCGTAAATTCCCGGGGTCCCTAATTTACGACCGAAGAAAATTTTAATGGCCAACGAAAACTTCGCGGTGTGTCCCGAGCCCGGTGCTTTAAAGTTCAACTAGATTTTATTGCGAGGCTTTTTCGGGCGATGCTTTATGCGCGAAGAAATAAGATTTTGACGTCCCGATAATACGCCCAATTGTCATAAATTTTAATTCCCCAGGCACTTTGTCTGATTTTTTTAAATCTCAATTTATGCCCCGCGCTGGCCATCCGGACCCACGTTTAACTTCTGCCGTAGAGCGAAAAGTAACTGCAGAGTGATTTATGACTCCGCCCGTTTTCTGCATCACTCCGTGTGCATGTGTAATTTGCGCAAGCATCGCGCTAAATATTTTTAAACGGCAAGTCCGATGAGTAAACAAAACACCTAAAATGACAGCTACATAATAATTGAATTTTAACGCCCACGTCTATTTTGCAACATTATCTCGCAACAGTGTCGATCGAGAAAGATAAAGGATGATTGCCAATTGGACTCGAAGGTCGCGATATCGATCATTTTTACATGACAGCGCAATGACTCCCTGGGAATGAAAAAAATGCGGTCACACGAGCGCCTCGTATCCGAATCCAATCTCTTTTTAGGATGTACTATACCTAAATGTATACGCTGAGAAAAATTGTGAATATATTTGATGAAATTTATCCAATGAAATTGTAGTTACCGAATGAATTTTAATCGAAAAACCGATTATATTCTTCATCGGGTATACAATTTATTCGTATATATCCGTTTGTTAATATGTAACTGAATTATCCGATTAGATAGGCTAAGATATTTTTTCCTCAGCGTACTGTTTATAATAAGCGAGTAGAAAATTTCACCCGCTTGCTTCATTTTATTATACGCGTCTCGGACCTTCAAGAGGCACGAACGGGAGGAATGCATGCGTAAAACGAGTGTCGTTTGCCGAACGACTAGTCATGCAAGGTATAATCTCGCTTCTCTCTGCCGCACGGAACGCCTCGAAGGTGCAAAAGTGGCTGCGAAGTGCTCAAAGGCAAACGTTAACTTTGGTACTTAACGTCATTGTGAGAGGAGAAAGAACGAGTGGGCTTGACGACAGAAAATACCTTACACGTCGCTCGCGTCTATATTGAACGCACGAAAATGCAATATTCGCTCCGTACAAGTGAGTTCGCGGTACGAATTAACCGTCTGTACGAAATTAGCAACGTACTAACCTATCGCCTTGTTTAGCATGCAAACTGCAGCGGCGTGTCAGAAACGTTTGCTTCCTCGGCGCTTACGTGTAACCTTCGATCGCGAGCGTCGAACCGGCAAGAATCGCAAATAATTTAACCGCGTGACAAAGTTTCGCATAGAAATTATTCATTAAAGGATTATATCATTATCGAGCTCATCAAATCGAGCTGACCTCAAGCGACGAAGGTCGGTGAAGGATGTAATCAGCGTAGACGATCATGTAGAAAATATCGAGTTAAATGTTAACAGTAAAAGCGTTCACTTTTAGAAACTTTTATGATTAAAGTGTCAAGACACGAGTGCGTTTAGATATAAAAAAATATATCGGCAAGTGGATAAAGAGTCGTGTATCAAAAATTAATTGTTGAGAAAATCAACATATTGTATAAGCTGGCATAAAGCGAGGAGTGGACCGCTGAGGACATTGTGGTGTACAGATTTGCGGCATTACTAGGCAGTTTTTGGGCATTAGTGAGTGTTATTTGGCCTTGCTGGGGTGTTACAAAGATTCTAAAAAGATCAAATAAAATGAACCAAGATAATACTCTGGGCACTACTGTCGAATTTCAACGCCTTAGTAGGCATTGATATGCATGATTTTTGTCGACGGTTTATCCTTCGAGATAAAGAGGTTGAGTGATATTTTTTAATTTTACGTTTTGATATGGATAACAGGTGTCGCGTGCTGAAATTTCTTACGTGCTACTGATTGTGAGTTTGACAGTAACGTCGATATCTACAGCTTTTTTCGCTATTATTATATACAGAAAAATGCCAGTTTATACAAAACGTTGGTTCTCTCAATAATTAATTTTTGCCACCTTTATCCACTTGCCCCTTCAATTGTGCGTTAAATAAGTATACTCTTTCAAATAATACCAATTATACCGCATCCGGGTTTTTAATATAAAAATTTGACGTATTTTATATAAAAAACAGAGATAGCTGTATCCGAACTTTTAAGCATAGGAAATTATTTCCATGTTTTTCGAAGTTCACAAATCTCTTCAGGAAACTTGTGTGTGGATTACAGATTAAGATACTCCGAGCTTTATTTATGAGTAACGTGATCGACACGATAATCCGAGGATTTCACTTTCCACGCGTTCATCTTTAGCACATGATTCGCCTCGCGGTCGAGCTCCCCCCCCCCCTCCTTCATATATCTTGCAACAGAATTATTCGACCGGTTGCAATAGGTCGCGACTAGGGAAGTTCCGTGACATTAACGTCCGGCTACGAGGATGAGAGGGAAACTATTTACTAAATTCTCCCGTACTCGAGTTTCTTATTAACGCGAGTATTCCCTTCCGCCGTCGATCGGATTATCTGCACACAACG